TATATATATATATAATATACATGCACATGCATAAATTTAGGTGTTCTAGCCTGCCAGCCTTCCAAACGGGGGTCCCCGTCTTGCGGAAACATGCCGCAAACCAATCGCCATCCCTCCAAACTGCCGAAGCACTTTCCCCGAAGTATTACCCCAAGTAACTAAGTAACTTGAATCCAAACTGAACTCCAGAAATGCTCAACAACTCATAGGGCTAAAACTTCAAACCCAGGCATTCCGAAATTCTAAGAACAAAGAACCAGAACAATAAGCTAAACACAGTTAGAGTCAACGGATCGCCTCACCATCTTCTTGACGAAGTCGGGGTCACTGCGAAGTCGCTCGGAAGCGTGCGCAAAGCCCCTGAAGGCAAGAAGGCTGACGCTTAGCACCACGTGATGTTTTGCAATTCCTGGATTCAGATCGTTGTTCTAGTTCCATGCAATGAAAACGATGACCGAGGTTGACTGCCTCGGATTTCGTAAAGGAGTATTCTGCGCAAAGTCATGGGCACAGCTATTGCCACATAACAGAGCGGCACCACTTTCGGGTTGCATAAGGGGTGCAAAGATCACAATGATAAGACTAACTAGCAGAAGAAACACAAACAGTGTTGGCGGAGCAATCCGCACGAATGCAAGCAGCAGCACATGGCAGCCAAATATGCACAAGGCTGTGCATGGTTCAACGTGACGAGCACCACATCAAATCGGTAAGGTAAAAAGTCACCTGACAAGATCTCCGCTTTTTGGGGCCTCGGGTCGCCCACAATGGCCTCAGAAACAAACTCCTCGCTGTCGCGCTCCATCTCCTGGTGAAGGTGGAAGCGTGCTCTCGATAGCAAAGCGGAGATGCTGTGCAAGCTGGAGGCGTTTGCTCGCGACATGCAGGTCAATGGCACGGTTCAGGACTGCTCAATGTAAAATCAGACAGCTAGTCTTATAACCCCAGGCAAGACCGCGGCGAAACATGTATGGTGATGATGGCTGTCTTAATCAACACAACAGTGGTGAACATAATGTTTACTGTGCCAATTCTCAAGTCCGAAAACCACAGTCATAGGCATCCGCAACTTGCTGCCCAGCGGCAGAAGCCTGCTGCATCCTCGTGTCGGATTTCCAAAGTCTTTCGAGTTTTTCAGCAACGTCGCCAAGAAGAGTTTATGACTATCGCGCTGCTTCATCCATGAAAACTGACAGGAAACGACACGGCGGTCCCCAAACACGGGTCTCAAAAGACACGCTCTTGAAGTCAAGTCGCTTTGACGGTGTCATGAATGCCTGGCACGCAACACACTCCAGCGAAGAGTCTGGTAAGGTCACCGTCCAGTGCCACTACCGGTTGGGGGATGAACGCGCCGTGTCACACAACACAATCGCTGCATGGTGGTAAATCATCCAAACCATCATTAATACACATCGACTGCTGTACAGGTAACTGTGCAACCTACTCCTCGTGCCTGCTTCTTTATGCGGCACATGGGTGCAACAACTCATGCAATTCTGTATTGACGCAACTGCCGTTCGGCCGAAGCCCCGATTTTTGATGCAACTGTTACAAAATGCCATTCAGACAAGTCTGCACAAGACATGTACACATATGCAGTCATATGCATATGTTATACTGTTTTCGTGCGCGCGCGCGTCTTTTCGTTTGATTTAACAACGGCGATCATCAGAAACAGTGAGCCTCGATATCCCGCTTGCGGAATCTGCGACTGCGCATTGCCACACCTCGGGAACCATCAAACCGCAAACTGCTTTAGAAACACAAACACGGACCTAATGAGCACACAACCGTCGTTCAACTGCCCGGCTTTGAGCTGCCGCTGCAGCTCGTTGTTCCCAACAAGTGAGGGGAACACAGGAGTACGCAAAGGCCATGAGCAAAAACGTAGCCGAGGAGCTCGGAGTTTTTTCTGCCGGTGCGGGCGCGCCCGGGACGAAGGCAGGAAGAATCCATTGACAAACCTTCATCAGGCAGCAATTGGGGTTGGTCCTTGGGGGAATGGCATTCAATTCTTCTCTGACGCTGGCAAAGATGTGGCGACATTGCCAGTGCAGCTTCATGATGATATAAAGTGTCGGTGGGCCTGCTATCAATCAAGCACACCAGTCTCAACCCCAAACCACAGCAGCTCTGCATACATATAGAAACTTGTCGCTGAACTCTGGACCCGCGAAGACTCGTCAACACTGAAGAAACGGCATCGATGTTGGCTAAAACATGAGACTCTCTCTCTCTCTCTCGCTCTCTCTTGTTCATGTTCTGATTCTGAGACCTTCACTCGTGCGCCGATCCGATCCGACTTGGTTATGGCTTGGTCAGGCCCAAATAACACTCAAGAACACACATCCTCCACACCCCCGAAACAAACCAAGCTCGTCTGTGCAAACGCGTGCGACGCACGTAAACGCACATAGCGAATGCTCGGACACAAACCCGAAGAAACCGTCCAACAGTTCAATGCCCGAAATTCCCTAAATCGATAAGGCCCTCGCCTGCGCCAGCACCGCCAAACATAGGAGGGCCGGCAGCGCCCGCAGCGCCATGGCCGAGAAACCTGTCTGGGCGGATTTGGGGGAAGGAGGCCTGAGGCCACGATAAAGTTACTATGAGGGTTACCAATTAATTATAAAGTTACAATAAAAAATCTAAACAGGTGCTGGGTCTGGAAGGCATAAACTTAACTTAATAAGTTCCAGGTATCGGGTCGAGCCATGTGCAGGCTTCAAGATTTAGGTTTAGGATGCGGGGGCCAGGAAGCGTTTATGGGAACTCGGTTCGGCCAAGAAAAACAAGCCAATCGAATCACGCACACATGCACACATACGTGCAAGCTGCGAGTACGGCTCACCTGACAAACAGCGACGTATCCCCTCGCTGGCACTCTCAAGTCTGAGGAGCTGACCGGAGCGCCGGCTCTGTTGGGCGCAGCCAAATTGTCTCAAAAGCCAAGCGCAATGCAAAGCAGTTACAAAATAGATGTGCAACCAGGAGTTTTTCATGGCATGGACAGCGGGCTCTGTTGCTCTCATGTTTATCCGCTGACAAGATGCAAGCCTCAACACTTGTCCACAGAAATGAGGCTTGGAAGGACTGAGACAGCATCTTAACAACATGTTGGGTGTTGGGCTTGCACATGTATTTTCTGGTCGCCCTGCCCCCCCCCCTTCCACGGCAAAGCCTAAAACCCAAAGGGTTGTAAGACCGGAGAGCCAAGCCGATTGCCCAACCAGTCGCGAACTGGATGAGCATGTGGACATAATTGCCCACCCACCCTGCTGCTTCGCTCGGCATAACACTTACATGTCCCGTGGAAGCAGCAGGCAGCATGAACTAATCTGCCGCCCGCCGCCCCCGAAATTTGTTGTTTGGAGCGCCGATGAAGTCACCAGAAGCCACATTTTTTAACGTGCTTTTTGGGGCATTTTTCGGCCCTTTTGGCCGAAGAAGACTGTACAACCTCTCTAAGCTTTGGACCTGGCGTGGCTGCACCACTCCGAATTAGTGACAGCACAGCACATGCTGAGCTGCACATGCAAATGAACTGTTGGGTTATGAATCAGTTATGAAGATAACCGAGACGTGAAAACAGCAAGGAGCGCAATGAGTATTGCCTTTCCACGACGAAAGTTAAGATAACCATGCCCCGCGCGGCTGATCAAGCTGCTGCCGGGACTGGGATTGCTGCCTGGATCACGCACGGGGTGATTTCTGTTCAAGTGCCTGGGGCATTCTGGGACTACAGTAAGTAGACGCAAGCCAGACCCTCCACCCCAACCAAAACTGAGGCTCGTGCTGGCACTGCAGTCGGGACCTTCAAGGGCTGACCGTGTTTGCTTGAAAGCCCGGCAGCCGTCAGTAATGGCACGCATGCGTGCATGCACAAACATACATACGAGTACACATACAGACATACATCCACGCATCAAGTGAACACACTCAACACATGCGAACGCTCCTACATTGACTCAGCGCGCCGCCTCCTGCTTTGGGGCCTTCCAACCCTTCTCTGTCAGCTCCTGACATTTGCAGGGGCGCGAGCTCCAGAACATGCTTCAAGTTCCGGCCACGGGCTCAATTCTGGGATCATGGGGTGTCGAGGATTGGGGTGCCTCGGAACCTCGGATCACAACTTCCCTCCCTTCGGCCCAGACAAAGAGCACCAGGTTTCGTGCCCGAAAGCATGCTGTTCATTATGCCGACCTCGGAATCCAGATGAAGCAAACGCTTACTTCAGCGTTGTCTCCAACGAACACAGGGTCTGAGAGCTTGCATTGTCCATCTGTCTGGGACACCGCCTGCCTTCATGGGGAGGTGCGGCACCGAGGGAGTTGCTTGGCTGCCATCCCCCTGTAAGCACAGCTTTTGTTAGGGGATTGAGGTGACGGTGTGGAAAGCTCGATAGGGCCTTTGATGACTTGGGGCGGACTGAGCATGTCCTGACCTCTACATGTCCACATCGGGATGGGGAGGGGGCATGGCCTGAGATCAAAAAAGAACCGCAGCTCGCGACCTCTAGCAGTAGAAGGTGCAGCAGCTGCAGGAGGAGTACGAAGGAGCCGTATTGAGAGGAGAAACTCGGACAAAACATGTGGCTTCGGCGGCAGGCAGCAGCAGAAGCCATCGTCGTCGGCGTTGCTCACCGGAGGAGAACAAAATGGAAACAACTGCAACCATCGGCGAATGTGGCCTTGCCACCGCCCACCGCAAAGCCCACAAAGTCTGTCCTTGCAGGGGGGGTTTATTCAGGACTCATGCAAGCCAAACATTAGACTTGGACTGCGGCTCTGTGAGCCTTGGATCCGGGATTTGCTAAGCTCGGATTCGTTTTGCAACTCACTCTCCGCACGGATTCCAGAATCTGGTCGGCTCCATGCTCGAGCAGCAGACAGCAGACCTGTACTGCTAACATGCGCGACAGGAAGGTTTTCTACTCTGTCTCTCCCTCTCCCCCTCTCTGTTCGTCTCCCGGGTATGAGGGACGAGTCAAGTCCCCCGACTCTCTCTCTCTCTCCCTCCGTCTCGCTCAGGCCCAGACTTGAGGTTCATTGGATTGAAACAGGCCAAGCCGGTCTCCGAACCTGTAGCGCACACCATGGATGCTATTGGATGCTGCTAGTGATGCTGCTGCTAGTTAACAAATCTGGTGATCGTGATCTGGTTGCTAGTGCGGCATGGTGATGTCGTGCTGCTGCCGGCATTGTCTGCCTGCCTTTGTGTCATGTAAACGAGACTAGGCCAGTGCTATCTCACCACAACTGCTGCCACCACGAGGAGACCCGTTGCAGCGAGGCCTCGGCCCAGTATTCCCCGCAACAGGGGCAGCTAAAATGCAAGCAAAAGGCGAGCCCACAATCCTTGTGCTTAGGAACACGGGAAGACTTCAGAAGCATGAGCCCGACATTTTGCAACCTGCCTGACCGGCTGACGGTCTGAGATAACACTGAGAGATTACCTAGGACCTAGGCTCGACCGAAGATCCAGCAGCTCCCTGGGGACAAAAACGCCCGAAGTACTGAATGGGCCTCTGTGAGTGAAGGACTCCTGGGTTCCGAAAAGTTTGGGGGACTGTAAGCTGCCCAGACGCAGCAAGTTGTCGCAGCCACGCGGTGGTTAAATCTGCCTGCGGCGGCAGGTCCGGACACGTGTGCGAAGCACAGAAAGGCACAAGACTTGAAAGCTGCCTCGAGGCTTGCTACAGCCAGTAAAGATCGCAATTCCAGGCGGTCGCCGTGAGCCCAACACTCTCCACGAACAGTTCTCATTGAACGTTATGCTTGAACAGGTTAACACGTTCTTCAGTGGCTTCCGACCAACCCTCTGCACACACCAAACCATACCTTTGCCTCTGTAACCTCAGACCGCCAAAAAATGGATACCGAACTCTCGAATGGCCCCGGCCGTGTGTTAGTATCGAGCACTTCTTGTAGCACCTGAGTGAATGCGCACGAATCGCACGTGTGCGACAGCTGGTGCAGGTCTGTGTGTCCATGACATGAAATCAGACTCTGTGCACTACAGTAAGCGTCAGGAAATTCATGGAAATCGTTTGAACTACCTTTGTAGCCCTATGCCAGTGTAGCGGTGTTACCAGCTCGAAGCATGATGGTGGTCCGTGCCTCTCATGGCCTCTCACTCTGATACTCTTTGCAGTATAGGTCATCTACGCATCTTCGCCTTTTCCAGAGCACATGGTATCAAAACGAGGCATCTCCGGGATCCCAGGCCGAGGCTCGAGCCAATGCAGTAAATCCCGAGAGCCGGACTTGACGCAAAAATAGTGGAGAATTCGAGTTCAGGAAAGTTCTGAGAATTGTTGCTTGCAGAATTGAGCTCTACAGCTCTACCGATTCATTTCCGTAAACAGATCAATATAGACAGCCGTATAAGCCCCGCATCCCCAGCCACAGCAAGCCACCGCCGCAAGCTTTTGGTGCCCGGCATGCCGAGGAGCAGTTCCTCATCCTCTTCGAGGGGCCACTCGGGGATGTTTTGCTCCAAGGGCTTGGTTGAAACGTGTGTTTACATCAATAAGTAAATAAATAAATAAATAAATAAAGAAAGAAAGAAAGAAAGAAATATATATATATATATGTATAGGCGCGCGCTTGTGTGGTGTGTGTGTGTGTGTGTCTGTGTGTGCGTGTGTGTGTTTGTTTGTTTGTTTGTTTGTTTGTTTGTTTGTTTGTTTGTTTGTTTGTTTGTTTGTTTATGTATATACACATGTAACCGTATAGTATAGATATATCTACATACAGATATTTGTATTAAATTGTGGATAGATTTATATGTTGATTTATTTATAGACATGTATATGTCTTTGGTGTGTGTATTTAAATACATGTGTACAGGAACCAGTACTAGCTACTATGGTCGAGGAGTACTGCTGCAGGCATAAAAGCGATGGTAACACAATGGCCGAGACGCTTGAAAACTCAAGGAAACCTGGGAATCAAACCATGATCACTGCCTGGATTGCCGGACTGTGAAACAGGAATCCCGGGCCCGAGTCCCAGGTGCTGGAAACATCCAGAGAAGACTTCGACCCGACTTCCCAAATCGACATGAGGCAGTCCAGGGAGCAGCTTGGAGTGAACGGGGTTGAGGGCTAACCGGCTAACCTGCAACAACATTGATCAGAAAATGCTGAGGCCTCCAGGCAGGTACCCTCGCCATGTGGGCAAGCCGAATGTTGACCGTGCACGTTGCCCGAGACATCAAAGCCATCACAGGGCCTGGCGTCTCTCTTTGAAAGGGGAAAATCATCCGGCAGGATGCTACGGAACCTGACCTACCGGCATCTTTGATCCTGTCGCAGAGAAAGACATGCAAAGTTTCAGTCCTTGTACATGCCAGGGCCCCAGTCGTAGAGATATCTGACAGCCTTTGGGTTGCAGCCTTGCTGGGGATACCATCTCATGGCAAACCTGCCCGGCAGGCGACATGTTGATCTCGGTGTTGTCAAAGCTGCAAGGCTCCGACTTACAGCCTTGGTCTTCTGCTGAACTGGGGCTGCAGTCCAAAAGGGTTGCGGCAGAAGATGCTGAGTTCAAAATTACTTCCCGAACTCCCTCTCAAGCCTTCTCCAGTTGAAGGTCTGAGAGTCTTGAACTTGCATGTCTCGCTCGCGGCTTGCATCATGTACGGCTTCCAGAGGGAGGAGAGGTAATTCTAACTCCGACAGTCCTCCGGTTCTAGGTCAAGCTCTCAACTCACGCCCATGCCCTTCAAAAGCCCGACTTTCCCTATGCTTCCAAGGACCTTGTAGTCAGGGCCCTAGACTGAAGCTTAGGGTTTACTTGAAGCCCGGACCTCCGACGGCTCAGGCGTGGACACGTGAACGCGCTGGTTCGGATCGGGTGTGTGCCCTTGGTGGCCAGGGAACACCTCAGCCGCTGCATTCCTCAAGGCGGGAAGTCTAGAATCTGAGGTTTAGAAGGTGCCGTGTGTGAAAATTCAAATCATGCTCGACTTCAATCTTTGCTTCTCGCAGCATTGGACTCAAGGCCACCGGTAGATCCTGTAGCCCTGCAGTCTCCACACCCAAGGCCAAATATCCAAAAGCAGCACCTCCCATTTCCGAGGTCGGGGCTTAAGATAACAGAGGTCCTCAAAATACCTCGAAGAGACTTTCATTCAGTTGTGAAGAGTCTGGGGGTGGCACAATGTTTGTCTACTTTGTGTCGCTCTGATTGAAAACGCTGGAGGCCAGATCTCACCGCTCCTCCGAGTCTGGAGTCTGGAAATGACATTTCGGATCTGAAGCCCGGTCTCCCACATCGAAATATGAAATGACATCCGAATCAATATTGATTGGAGCCAACAAATAACTCACGGATGTGCTTCAAGATCCGCACACCAGTCGCCCTCAGACTGCCAGCATGCAGCGGCGACAAAAGCGACCAACAGCAGATAACAGCAGAACGTGCGTGCCATTTCGAAACGCTCGGACGGGCCGCTCAGAGCACTTTCTCCGAGGCCGGCCGCAAGCATGTGCGAGACAGCTGGGGATGTGGCTCCTCGTCATCGGCGCAGATGTTTCCATCGTGCATATTCCTCAGAAGGCCATGAATCGCCTACGACAAGGGACGAATGCGCAACGTCTCTCGTATCTTTTCTCTGCGTCTGTACCTCGTACAAGTTCCTGGAAAGGAAGCCTCTCAAGCAGAACAAAATCCCAGTTTCCCGGGCGGCTGCTTCCCGTGCAGCATCAGGCAGATGATGCAGCAGCAACAGCACAGTAGACAGATGATGTAAAAAAGCAGATGATGCTACAAGACATATGGTACAAGGGAAGAAGAAGTCGAATTTGTCGTTGCTGCCTCCCCAAACCTAACTTGGCTGCCGGCTCTTGGGGGGCCTGCGGCACCTGATCCCCAGCGGCTTTTTGCAACGTCCAAGCTGCAAGATTAAGCAGGATGTGTCGTTGCTGCTCCCTGGCAGCATTCGGAGTGAAACAGAGTGGCACCTGTGCCTGTTGATGACAAGGTGATTGCGGACAAGTGAATCCTACGGGACGAAACGAGTACGCAAACGTGAATATCTAGACTCCAGACCGAAGGGGAAGAGGAAGGTTGGTCGCCTTGCAGCTTCGACGAATGCACACGCAGAGGCGAACTAACACTGCCCTGAAGGACGGCGCGTGCTCGACTCGACTACCCTTTTTTCCATCTCGACAGGATGACCCATGGAATTATCCAGTAATTAACTCTTGCCAGTGCTGTCTGCAGGTTTTGAAGAATCATCAGCGATGGACCGGTCAGATTCAAACCTCCGAACTCCCAAAGCGGTCTCGCCTCTGCTGACACGGCCGCGCCTCCTCGTGGCGGTTGGCCTGGCATGCCAGAAAGAAGACAAACGCCAGGCACTGAAGTCTAAGACCAGAGCCAAGAGGCTGATCTCCTTCCCAGAGACCCAAAAACTCTCTGAACTCAAAACTTCTTCGACACGATCCCCAGAAGCCCTGCTTGGCTTCAAGATTTCACTCAGAACTCGGACGAAGGCTTCCCCACGGCCGCAATTACAATCGTTGATTCACACCGACACGCGACCATCAGCCTCCCCCAAAAGCAAGAACTGGTAGTCGCTCTAAGTTCAACCAGGAGACCATACACTATATACCAACCGCTGATTCCAACGTAAAGATCGGTTGCTAATGCCGCTGAAGCTCTTTAACCATAAATCCTGACAACCAAACAGGCGAGCGGGTGCCGTTGAACAGCCAAGCGTCGAGGTGCTGGCAGGGGAAAGCGCCGGGTGCGGGTTTCGGGTGTGACGGCAGCTCAAACACTGCATGCGCGCACCGGCCTCTGGCGGATTACCATGAAAATGCTGTGTTTGCAATGACGACGTCTGTTGCAAGCAACATTTTGCTGCGTAAACTGCCCAACTCCGCATTGATAGAACCATGCTGTGCGGAGACTCTGCATGGAAAAACAGTCTCCAAACGCATGAGGAAGGCCGCGGGGAGGTCTCGGGGTTCCGAAACAAGAACGTGGCTTTCTCAGTTTCAGTTGATTGTTTCAACAGCTTACTCGGACAGAAACCTTGACATACCGAACCAAACGCAAACTGCTGAAGCCTCGCGGTACGGAAGCGGTCAGCATGGGACTTTTTGGTCCGCGCAGCACGCTGCGTGGGTGCTCCGCCTGTGGAACGCGGATCGAGCACATGGCTTCCACCTCAACCCGAGCTGACGCTAAAACAGACATCAGAAATTCATAGTATACAATATATAATCTTTTCTTATATAATTTATAATATGTAGCATATAATATATCTTTAAGAAGACACCTGCAATGCTTTGTCGCGTGGGGCTGTGGCATGGGAGCCGTGGATTCACAAAGAGATCTAGGATCCCATGAGGCTCTCGGCGACGACTACATCACCCCTCCGCCACAGAGGCTGCCAGGTTGTCGTGGCTTCACTGGACACATGGACCAAGAGCGGCTGGCGAATTGCAGTATCCAACGGCAACACGCATCTTGGTGATGTCTGTTACAACTCATGTCGGTCGTCGTATTTCGTCATTATCGGAATGCTTGAAAATCTTCACGTCGCTCTGGTCACCGAAATTCGGCTGTGGACAATCCTAGCTTTCCGGGATCCTCGGAAACAAAATCTGCAAGTGCTGGCAGCAGGCTGGAAAAGATATGAACTTGGAAGGGCGAGCTGGATCTCAAGAACGCCAGTGCCTACCTTCATGTCTTGTACGTGCGTACGTATGTATTGGACCCAGAATTCCGAGAGCCTACCGTAGCAGCCTTGCGGAAAGGGGAATACCGCGCGGTTGCTGAAGAAACTATTCTCAGCAACCTTATACAAATTAGGAAAGGTTGGCGTACCGTATAACCGTACATATGATCCCGGTTCTCGGTTCACCGACTCCCCCCCCCCGCCCGGTTCCAGACAGACCAAACCCCTGTGACTGTGTGCACTTCGTCCATATGGCGGCTCCAAAACCGTCAACTGTCACGAGGATTTCTTCCCAAACACACCCGATCCTTGTGACGGTGCACACTTTCCAACCACGACTCCGACATCAGGATTTAAAACTGTAACTGTCCCGAGGATGGCGTTCCTGACAGGCCCCGTTCCGGTGACAGCTGACCCAAGAAAGGGACCGGATGAGCACAAATCATCACAAATCCCTGTGACTGTGCGCTCTCCTTCGATATGGCGGATCCAAACCCGTAAACTGTCGGCACAGGATGATGATGGATGATGAGCATGATCGTGGGGCATACCAAACTACACCGCACCATGTGGATGATGGTGAGCATGATGATGAGGCATACCCCGAACGCCACACCGCAGCCCAAGCAGACCCAAACCCGAACCACACCACACCACAAAGGCGAGGGGAGGCACACCAAGTAGACCCAAACCCCCGGAACCACTGATGATGATGATGCTGCAGTAGGGGCCAGGCCGCGGGCACAACCACACGACACCAAGGGGGGAGGGGGAAGGTGGAGAACCACACCACAGAAGGGAGAGGAGAACCGGAAAGCAGCGGGTTTGAGAGGGTACTAACCATTGGGGGTTATGAAGGGGGGGAGGTGGGCCGTCCGTTCGAACCGGGATCATTTATGGGACGATCGTGGGTTCCTGCTCAAAGTTATTCAGACCTTGTACTAACAGAGGAGCCCGCCTGCGACCATGGAGGGTGAGACGAGCACTGCGACTGCTTGCGTCTGTGCTGGAAGACCCGCTCGGGCTTGCGAATGGTAAGGCTGAGCTGCAATGGCAAGAACACCGTTTTTTGAACCTATATAAGCCTCGGTCTTATGCACTGTTCCGGCAGCAGCTCGACGCTTCAGAACCCAATGCTACTGCAGGCCACTCATTCAGCAAGAACACTACGGCTGGTCCAGGTAACGGAAGTCTTGCTACCAGCGCTCGGAACCGTCGATTCTGCTGCTGCTTCGGAATCGTTGTCATAGCGTCGTGGTCTCCTACTGCCTTAACAATCCCCAGCCTGTGGGAGAGCAACAATTCTACGTAAGCTCTCGGTTCCCAAGTTCAGCTGAAGGCAGCCTAATTACAGTAGGATTTTCGCTTTGTGCACGCATTGGAGCCTGCAGCCTACTGGGAGTCACTAGAGTGGGAAGCCTAAACTTGATTGGAACCAGGCACCTCACTTGCACCCTTGCAGCTACAATCACAAACTTACTACTTTCGCCACCACGTTCGTCAAGTCCGGACCCTACATCCTAGAATCGTAGAATTTTCGAACGCACGGATTAGAAGCGTTCATAAAAGAGGAGATACGCCTCTGGTGACACTACGTCAGACTCACTGGCCTGTGTCACACGAGCCTCAGTCGGCAAAGGTGGGATTACATCAGCAGCCTGCAATTGACACTACCGCGCCGTGCGAGGATGAAAAACCATCTGACAATCTTGGAGTGTGCTGTCTTGTTATTCCTTGCAAGATGCTTGTATGAGCACGATTCAAGCCTTTTCTGAGAGATCGATGGCCCGAAAAGGTGATCGCAATCAGCTTTGCAGGCAGTCCCGGTCCCCCAGCTTTAGGCAAGGGGCATCATTGAAGAAATACCACTTCTTGTCAGAACCCTCGCCCACTTTGCAGTAGGCAGTGTAATGGCCGTAGGAGAGGCTCCCAGAGTGGTTCACGACGGCATAGAGTTTGTATTGTTCTCCTGGCAAGTTCTCGCAATCAGCACAGAGGCCCTGAACAGTGCAGAATGCGCATGAGGCTTAATGATTTCTTCATGCTTTACGGCTGCAGACATGCGCACGTCGTCGGGAATCCACACGGGACATGAGGACGTTAATCGCATCAGTCAGACATGGATGCACCGCAACAGAAAGCTGGATATGTCGGGTCGTGTCAGGTCCTTCTTCGGTTGGAGGTCCCGCGAGCCATCGCGAAAGGTCCAGCTCGAAGGGGAAGCGAACAAAGCTTCCATCCTGCCGGTGGGCGGCCGAGAAACTTAAACCCGGATGAGCGAAAAAGTACGTATAGTGGTGCAATTGACCGCACTGCCCCTGTCTGGATAGAGCTCTTGGGATGCATGTGCGAGACAGTTCAGTCAGACATACATGCTCAAAGCATTCCGAACCCATTTGCTGCACTGAGGGTGCAGGAATAAGAACGATCCCGTGTGCCCGATGCGAAAGAACTCACCGGGCCCTGGCCTTGTCAATGCTGGAAGAGTCGGCCACAAATCGCTTCAAGTGGATGATCCTTAAGAGAGGGCTGCCAATGTGCAAAACCGATCGAAGATGTTGACGAAGGGTGTTACGAGAGTGATTGGGAGCGTACGCCAAGGCGAAAAGTGGCTTTTCCAAAGTGGTTTGTTCCGCCTTGTCCAGTTCCTGCTTCAGAATTCGCCGTCACCTGCTCAACGTCGTCGTGAGGACCCAGATCGTCGCGAATCACTTTCACGCACCCTGACACCGTCAATGTTGTCATCATCATATTAGTCCTCGTCATCGTCGTCATCATCATCACCATATCGGTCTTCAACATCAGGAGGGGCAGAACCAGCACCTGCAGTAGTGTTGGTATCGTCCACACTGCCAGTTCCTGCTTATAATCCCGAGGCATCCAAAATAGTGTGTGCGCATTGCTGTCCTTTTCCTCACAAACTGCCGCCGAGTTTCAAGCACTCCGGCGCCGTCCAAAGCTCAATCTTCTTCAGGGACCGTTCGCGCTGCTGCGTCTGATCGCACCAAACCCAGTCATCTTGGCAGAGCTCTTCCTCTCTCAAGTTGACTGAGCTGATATGGCGGGGTGTGTGGGCGTAGCTTAAAGGTAAGCCTACTCATACTCATGCGGTCCGAATCCCTCGGCAAGATCGCTCCACAGGAAAGCGTGAAGGACCTAGAGCTGCGCAACTCAACTCCTGCTTTGAGAATGAGTCCAGACAGTCTTCCAACGATCGCTCGGCCGGGGCGGTGTCTTCCTCAGCCGACCGCAAGTACACGTTTCGGCATGTGTAATAAAAAGGGCATGTATGAGTTTTTCTACATATATATATATATGCATACACAGATATATGATGTATATATGTATATACACAGTTTAGTTGTTTGTTCATGTTGCTGTGTGTGCTTTCCTATGTATGCAAGGTGCGTGTGTACGGGTGTGCTGAACTATGTACGTACGTATGTATGCATGCCTGATTATGCGTTTGTTTGTCTCTTCGTAAGCAAGATATATACCGTATATGATAAATGAATGTGTATCTGTATGTGTATGTCTCTACATACACGAACATAACAAAGGCACTGATGTTCATGGCGTGATGGGTTGCTAGCCCCAATTGCAAAGCCGGGCAGGCTTGACCGGATCCACTACCAGTATCCCTCAGCTCAGTCCGCCTAGACCCAGCGAACCCCGCCATTTTTCACGTCAGGGAAAGCAGCTGGGTTTTGTGGCGGGTGTAAGAGATGCCCACTGAGTGAGCAACCTCCGTAGGTCCTTTCATTATTCCATACCCCCTTTCAGCATGATCGTCTTGAGCCCTGAGGCCGCAACATCCTCCCCGCTATTCCGAGCCTGAGGTAGCAAGCCCGATCCTCCGGAGCGCGAAGTACCAACCCCGTCTGTGCCCGACGAAGGAGCCATGGATTCTGCTTGCTGGGGTTGTGAATTATACTGATTCTGCTGCTGCCCTCCAATCAACGTCCAGCGACCGGCCCAGGGATGGGCAAAGTGAGGTAAACCATGGGCTCAAACTTCTCAGAGCGCATTCCCACATCGCAG